AAAACTTTGTGACAATTTTTTTCAGATATGAAAACTTTACAAATAAGAATAAACTGGACTCTTTTATCACCAGATGATGGCAATCTGGCCAAAATACATAGGGGCTCTCGAACTGCATGGTTCTAGGAACTTAACCAGCATGGCCGTTCCTAGAAAACCAATTTCTCCTTCTGCCGTTTTCCTGGTTGCATTCGCACCGGCAGCAGGAACTCTGAAGAGGCCAACAGCGACGTCTTTATGTGTGACATTTACAAACGTCAACAACCAGTGAATGGAAGATGCCGTGATCTGAGCTGTTTTTGTTGTGTCGTGGGTTTCTTAATAACGATGGAAAGTAAACACACAATTTGCGTGATTGAAATCTGACTAAATCTCCTAAGACAACTTTCAGTGTTATCATCGAGACTGAGAAAAGAACACAACTCTGCAGACAACAGGTAAATGCCATTTTCGCTGTTTTCCATGTTCGTGGAAAAATATTATTACATGGCATTTTAAAGGCAGGTAGCTGGTGTTTCGTATGCGTTTGGCCAATCAGCATACACTGATAGTTCCTAAAGAACTGTTTTAGACCCTACTCTGAATTAGGAGCTAATTTACTTCCCCCAAACTGAATTCCTAGAACTAAAACTGTTCCTAGTTCCTGCAGTGCAAACATGCCAAAAAGCGTGTATTTCCGCCAATAGTTCTAGGAACTATGAAGGGTTCCTCCGGTGCGAAAGCCCCTATAAATTCTATAAATATATAGAAGTGTACATTTTTACTGTGGTTAAGTTTGTAGATTCACAAGCAGAGGAATTTATACATAAGATCTAAATGACATAAAAAAGAAATGCAAAATTGTATTGTTACTACTTCAGAGAAAATGATAAAGTAGATGGAAAAAAACTGTACCATAAGCGTATACCAACTATTGCATACTGAATATGGAACCTATACATTTCATAGCCCAATGAAAAACCATTTGCGCTCACATATGTGTTTAAGTATATTTCAGGCTTCTCTGTGCGGTCAAACGTGTGTGTTGTGGTCCGTCATGGTCTCTAATCTCTGCTGAAGCGTGGCTCACTCTCATTTGTGTTGATTATGAAGGCCCATCTCAGTAAAGCCGAGGCACGCAGGGCAGTTCATGGCCGGCTGCTGTCTTCTCTCAGAGCTGATTAAAGCGTCCAGCTGTACCCACAGCTTTTCTCATTGACATATATAGAGTGCTCCATGTGCTCTTTGTGATTAACTGAATTAGGCTGAAATCCCTCTCTCAGCATTTGACATTGATGCACAGGTACAGAATCTGTTCTCCATGGATAAACGCAGACAGGATTTCCATGCATGGAGAAAAATGCTTCAGTTCTGCTCCACCTATGTAGAGAAAAGACATATGGATATTTATATGACAGCAGCTATATTGGAAATGTGTAAATGGCGTACTTAAAAAAGCTATGGAATTTTTTCTGTCTTGTTTTGTGAAATCAACTTTTTCATAAGGAAATAAATTAAATAGTACATCACTCATTGTTTCTGATCTGCTGAATTTAATCATCCTTGTTTGAGTTTGTGGGTGATAAAATTGAAGTTTTGGACACTGATGTGGATGTGCATCACTAAAAGACATGGTTTCTGCTTGAGTAGATACACTGAGCTTAGAAACAGCATTATTTACCTCTAGACCATGAAAATACTGAGTTCTGGCATGAAACTCTAGATGGCGCAGTCCGATAGGTCTAACTCAATCTGACCTAATGACATCATTATCACATGGCACAGCTGATTGGTTCTCTCCTGTATCGGTAGCCAATGAGCTCGCTGCTCAACATTCAAATATATGACTAGTGCTTGCGGTAGCAGTTGCAGCTTGCTTCAGAAACCCTCCACCTTCCCCAGCTCCACCTGTATAGTTCTGCTACGAGGTGATTCATGTATGCTATATGGGGGTTATTTCATGTGTTATATTTGCAGCAGCAATATTTCTTACATGCTCACAGCAGCATGTTGTGGATGTATTGGCAGTAGCAAGTCTCGGTACTTGCTCTGCCGCAGCGTAGAAGATCTATTCCGCCAAGACCAAATATATTAACATTGTCATGTACATTACCATGCCAATCCCTCCGCGAGTTGTCATGACAGAAATATTGTTAAAAAATAATAATAATAATAATAAATGTACACCTTAAGAGTACATTTAAGAGAGACTGCTTTAGGATTAACAGAGCTTTGAATAGTTTCCTTATTCTAGTCTAGATCAACTTAGAGACAGATTTTTGTTTATGTATGTGAAATTTAGCTAGCAGGAAACAAATTAAGTTATATTTTGCGATATTCTCTTTTGCGTATATAAAGAATGCAAAGAAAACTGCTGCTGTAATATTATTGGTATTACATAATCAAAATTGTGTAATTATTGTCTGATGAATATGCTAACATACAAATAAACTCTCTTTATGAATTATGAGTATGTTGGCTACCATAGCTATAAATAAAGACTTTAGATGACATAAAACTGTGATCAGAAGTCCATCATAAATGTGAAAATGTTGTTGTAGTTGGATGGAAGGGGGTGTTGTCTGCTGTTATGTCCCCACCAATGTCAAAATCAAACCTACGTCATGTTCAAAACATGTTAAATGAAATGTATTGCAAGGATGACAGGCTTACAATCTTGAGCTTTTAATAGAAGGAAAAAAGTAGAGCTAATTAGTATGGTGGGCGAGATTTCTGTCTTCACAAGATATGTTTGTCCAAGTATTATATACAGTTGCACAGTTACCCACCGCTTTACGTTCATTAGTGCAGACAGGAAATGAACATAATTAAAATATTTCTGGGAAACGACTACCAGTTCATACACCCCATCTGCTACAGAAGAACTTTCCATTCATTAAGCTCTGAAAACGATTTTCCGAGAAAATCACCACACATTATGATGAGTAACGCTGAAGAATAGATATGTCTGAACAAAATGAAGTGGTGCTCAAATTTTCCTGTACATGATGATGAGAAAAATTATCAATTATCAGACTTGAAAGGCTGTCAAACTAACAGTCGGCTCACTTAAAAATGAAAATTCTATCATTATTTTTACTCCCCCCCCACCCAACCCCCCCCGACCCGCGCCACCCCCCTC